CATGCATCAGGTGGCAGCTCCCGCCAGGGAATGCGAAGTAGCCGCTAACGGCGCGGTGGCGGCTGCTGTCTTCAGCAGCTGCCACGACGGCTTCTGGGGGCGCTGGTATCGTCGTCGTCGGTCGTCGTTTCAATCGTCCGAGCCTTGTTTACTACTACCACTACCAAGATGGGAGAGAAGGTTGCGCTGGTGCCACTTCCACCGTCGCTACCGCTGCTGCTGCCTCTATTGCCGAATCCACGGCACACACATACGACGAGAGCTGCTGCAGAGAAAAAGAAGCAGCAGGGAGGGTAGTGAGTTTGGAATGTTGAGTTGACCCAACAGATTGAGGAGAACCGACAGTTCTACAACGACAGCGGGGTCTGCTTCAACGTCGCTTGCCGATATTGCCTGCGTGGCTCACCGAAACGGACTCGTTCCAATTGTCTCATCGGAGGTAGTGAGGAAGCGGTGACCGCTATTTGACTCGTTGTCAGAGACGACATTCGAAGCGGACGAGAAGCGAGGGGAGCGACAGCGTCCACCACGACGTCCGTAGGGACGGCATCAAGAGCAGCGAAAGTGTCGGCCAAAACGAGTACCACAACGAGCGGCGTCGAACTACGGTAACAATGATACGTCCTCCGCTCGAACCGCTGAATGTCGAGCAGCTGAAACGCTTACAACAACATCAGTACCGTGCTACGGGCAAATCATTCCTGGATCCGTATATGCAACCTTTCTGGGAATGGGTGGTCCTTCAGTTGCCCGAATGGTTGGCCCCGAACCTCATGACAATTCTTGGACTGATCGTCAACGTGGTCACGTGTCTGCTATTAGTGATACTGGCTCCCGATGCGCGTACGGACGTTCATCCCGTATTCTTCATCGCGTGCGCCGTCGGACTCTTCTTCTATCAGACTCTCGATGCCTGTGATGGAAAGCAAGCGCGACGCACCAACTCGAGTTCACCGCTGGGAGAGTTGTTCGATCACGGATGTGATGCCATATCTACGATTTTCGTTGCACTCGGCGTTTGTGTAGCCACGAAGCTGGGCCTGTCGCCCAATATCATGCTGTTCCAGTGTCTTTTGGCGATGTACTTATTCTACTGCGCACATTGGCAGACTTTCGTGACGGGCACCCTACGATTCGGGAGGTTCGACGTCACCGAAGCCCAGTTTTCCGTGATGCTGGTCCACCTCATTACCGCGATATTCGGCCAAGATGTTTGGAGCGCTAACGTCCTGTTTTTCGAAGCTCGCTATATCCCTTTTCTGAGCTGTGTTGCCGGCGCCCTCACAGCGATGATTTCCTATTTACGAGTTTCCTTGTCATCGCAGACCCCGCACGTGTGCGAAGGTTCGACTCTGTGTCCCCTGACGCCCTCGCTGCTCACGGTCGTGCCGGCTTTGGTTATGTCTTACAAATCGCCAGCTCTCATGTTGGAATACCCGTGCCTGTTCATGTTGACCTTCGGTCTGGTCGCGGTGAAAATGACTTTCCGTCTAATTGTGTCCCATATGACGCATTCAGAGCTGCAGGCGTGGGACTCGACACTACTCACACCGCTCGTTATCTTCTTCAATCAGTATCTAGACTTCCCCGTAGCGGAGCGTCTTCTGCTTTGGGTCGGTCTCGTCTACACCGCCACGGACCTCCTCCTCTACGCGAACGCTCTATGCAGCCAGATTTGTGATCACCTCAAAATCGAATTATTTCGAATCGCCCCCATGGTGGCGGACAAGAAGAACTCCGCGGAGGACCTCACTGGGAAGCCTCTGCTGAAAAGCGCAGCGACGACCAGTCCTTCACCGGGTGAAGCTCCCCCAAGATATCAAGACGTGATCGTTGATAACAGCTAACAGCGGTAGAATCGGAGATGGAGCCAGGTACTCGATTGTATCCGCGTTCTTCTTTTGTAAATTTCTTAGTTGTCAAACTTTGATAGCACGCGCGATGTGACCATCTAGCTGTATGTATTCAGATATATATATATATATTTTACACGATCTACGAATCGATCAGAATCACATTGCCTTCCGCTTGTGTAGTGTTAAGATGCCCCATGTTCCTGTTCGTCTTCCTCCACCGGAAAATCCGAAAAATCCAGAGCTACCGTATTGCCAAACATCACCTGCGTCACCCCATGGATATTTGTCTGAATCCAGTGCCGCCTCACGTCATTCTTCGTATACTTCGTTTGAACCCGCGAAATTCCGAGGGGTTGGTAGCTCGTTGCATTTCTCAAGCCAAGATGTTGACCGAGTGAGCAATCTATTGATGCACTCCGTCAGGTTCCTCGGTAGTGCCCCGGATACCGAAGTTTCGCCGCTGGCGCGTGGTATCAGGGGATCTACCTAGTCAGAAAAGAATGTAGATCGGACGGGACTGAACGAGGAGACGACAAGCGATTCCGGAATTAGCGTTCTCCGTCATGGCTTGATGACAAGGGCAGATGCGGAGCCCTAATATGCTTTTTGTGGAAATCCTTACGGAGATCTCCGTCCGGCAGTAGTGAGCGAGCGAGCTCACGACAGCGATTATAACCCGACTGTTGTATTTACAAACGTCTACCGTCTACTGGTGATTGACTATTCTGAATATATCGCGAAGCCGTCGTTGAGGACGCCCGGGGCGCTGTTGGCGGACCGCTGTTGAGCAGGTCCGAGAGCGGCGCTCGGTCTGTCATAGCTAACTTTCGTCCTGTCTCCCTCATTTGATGGAAGGTGAACAGTGACCGATTGAAGTTGTGAATGATCCACGATACCGGAGAGAGGGTACCGGAGTATTGGCGGTTTTGTATTTACTGCGCGCACCTCTGCTCTCGATCGGATTCTTTCGAATTGCCATTGATAGAGCTGAAGTAGTTCTTCGAAGCCTGGAAACCTCCGAAGGGAGCACGTGTTCCTAGGTATATACAGATGAAAACGGGAGAATGTTCTCAAGATTAAATAAAGAAAAGTTATAACATCATCGCGGAATGCTTCTCTGAGGAGGGCCTCGAGGTACAGGATTCGGTCGAGGATTCTGCTGCAAGTCGGAAGCTCTCATCACGGGTCGTTTTATTTTGCTCATCCAGTGTTTCTCCTCAAATCCGTAGCTCCTTCCGAGCTGCAAATGTTCCAACCATCGGGGACATCGTGAATTTATCAAATGAGCGATCCGTGAAGAATAGACAGTAGAGGACCAGCCGTTTGATGACTTTTCGCCAAACGAACGTCGGCGAAGTACAGTTATGCGTCGATAGGAAGGAAAGTATGCGCCGTGATGACGATCCAGATCTTCTGGGCGATTTCCCTCGGTCGGCGACGCTCCTCATGCGCGCCGTGGCTCAAGTTATTCTCCGGGAGAGAGAGACTTCGCCGACGGGGTGTTTCAAGTTTCCTTAGCAACGGCACAGCCGCGTGCTAGTTCCACGAGCCAAAGGATTCGGAACGACAAGATTCCTGACGATCACACCGGCGATGCTGCTCATTCCATGACAGATGTGTTCTATTCGGATAATTGAAGCTTCTGTGCTCCCGGATTCTACGGCTGCTGTTACAGTGAGCGGCACTTGCAGGATGGACTGTGGCTGGCCGCTCGTTTGACCGGCAATCTCGACCGTAGTTAGAGGAAATCACAGAAGGAACATGTGATCGCGGATCTCGTTTCGATCTCGCCATCTCGCGTCAGGGTCGAACAGCGTGCTTCCACAGCCTGACGCATTCGTCGATTGACAATCATCGACGATGGCCCGCTATGGGATACTTCTGCGTTGCCGCTGACCGCCTGCACTCCAGCGGGGCACACCCATGGCGAACAAGAAAGTTGTCGCCCTCAAGCAGGAGATGCTCGCCTACTGGCCCAGTCGTTGCGATGTCTTCAAGGTACCCCACACCGGCTCTCTGGCGATGTGTTCAAACGATTCGAAGCATCAGAAATCAAACAGCGATCCTGCACCCCGCGGGCTCGGCTCCGGCGAGCATCTAGATTCTGGATCTATGAAATCAAAGTGGTTGGGAATTTTCCGCCATCCGATTGGCGCGATTTCCCCTGACAGAAAACCGTCTCCTTCCCGCTGACGATCCCGGCTGCATTTTCAATACCGTGCTGCAACTGGAATGATTATTGGGCTTCTAAGCCGGAACATGAGATGAGGTGTCAGATGATACATAGATGTGATGGGGCGACGTACAGTGCTTTGAGCCGGAGCTGCCGGCCAGAGATTCTATATCTCCTCGCGGAGCATATCATTTATCATGGTTCCGTCTTTCAGTCGATTCTAAAGAATAGTCTGTGCGGAGGGTCTAGCTGTGCCCGCTCGGTCTCCCCCTCGTTCTTGCTTCCGGGAATCGCGGTCGATGCAAGTTCACGTCGCGAGGTTTTCAGACCCGCTGAAAGAATAGATGAACTCAAGGAGGGATGTTCGCGAGCTTGAAGCTCCATAGTGTGATTCAATTATTCATTTTCTCCCGACAGGAACCGGATGATGAACTCGAGGATCGCATTTCTCGGGTGTTGGCCATGCAACGTCAACACAAAGAGCAATTGTTACATGAAATGTCACCGCTGTCAACTAGAAGACCGCGCAGCGCGGTTGGCAGACTCGGCGGAGCCGAAAGAACCTCCGGAGGTAGACAATGGGGAGATAAAATGAGCCAGAGCCTTCTAGAAGAGAGCACAAATTCAGAATCTTTCGAGAAGAAAGACGTTTGCACCGAACTCTCCGCCAAGTAAGCTGACAAGGCTATCCTGCTGCCTATCTCACTTTGGTACATCGAGCCAGGGAATGACGTCATCCTCAGCTTGTAGCATTGAGGAGCATTCTCCTTTTTGCGAAAGAAAGGAGATCGGTGGAAATTCATTCTACAAAAATCCTTCGCTCCGCAGCAGAAGTTCAGCCGGCTCGAGTCACAGGTCTCGTCGAGACAACATCATGACGAGGTCGGTGCCTGATTTGCCGCCGACCCATCCTCCATCGAATCGCGTCATCACGACTCCGAGCAACCACGTCATGAGTTCGTCACAGATTGTTGCGTGAGTATACCTCGGTCCGTATCTGTGAGTGATTACATCGCCCGGCAAGCCGTCACCTGAAGTTCCTCCCCTTTCAGGAGAACGCAAACCAGCGACAACCGATCTGGATCGAGTCGTGTCTTTCGTTCATCGTCTTATTCCGTGCCCAGGAAAGTGACGAAAACGGCGACGGTACAGCCCCACAGAACCACTGCGCTCTATAGAAAAGAGAAGGATAAGGGAGAGATCGAAAGGTAAGGCGATACAGCGTGGAGAGCTTCCGAGGCCAGAAGATCGCGTCATCTCCCAATGGAGCAGACAACTTGAGCCGGAAGACCGAATGCGTTCGTGCTTTGGCCAGTCAGAGGGCAGTCGGTATCTTCATTGGAATGGAATGAAAGAATTCTTGCTCCAGGCTGAAGGCACGCCGGGAGTTTCTGCATAAGAGCGCCACCAGGATTCAGGCGGCATGGCGAGGTTACATAACTCGCAAAAGACAAGACAAAGATATACAACATCTGAGGATGCGACGAGTAGAAGAGCATCTCATGCATTTCGTGCGACGGATGGAACAGCTCGAAACGACTGTCCAAAGGTACACGAGGCGGTGCAGTCGATAGCAACTCAATTCGCAAAGCAAGATTCACCTTGTCGATTCTCAATCTTATCTATCACGGCCGAACAGACAAGAAGAGGAGCTCGCCGCCGAGAAGAGCGCCCGGATAGCAAATCAGGAAATGCTCGGCAGGATGCTCAATTCCATGGATAACATCGAACGGCACTTACAAACATTCTGCGCGCCCGGCACTTCCGAAGAAGCTCCAGACGTCCCGTCGACAAAGAATCAGTTTACCGCTGAGGAGGATGTAGGAATGCAGCGATCAGACACAATCGAAAGTTTGAGCACCAGGGTACGTTCCTCTCAACGTCGGAGGGTATGCTGGAGGGAAGGGGGGCGGGGTCGGTCGGTTCTTGATTGTGGGGAACTCGGAATGTCTAAGCTCGATGACGAGGAACGTACGGAACACGTTCTGAGCGTCTTTTTCGAATCATTCCAGCTCAGCCGCTTGGAGTCCGTCATAATGAACCTAAGCGCTAATTTCTGATTTCAATGCTTGGGGCGAGAGAATCCCATGACAGTGGAGACGAAGAAGCTAGAATCCTGCCAAGTCGTCCATTTCGTTGATATCGCACCAGCTTGAAGTCGATCTAGCGCATGCTCGAAGAATTGGTTGACCTGCACGGCGCATCCTCTTCCAAAACAGTCTCATGACGACGTGTCGGGCCCGAAACACCCCTAGCTCGCATTGACTCTTCAACATTCAGACGCGTTCTCATCGCATGGACTCCCCTCCGGAAAACGGATTGAAAGACTCGACGGTGGTCGACTACTATTCCGTCTATTGATGCTCGTGACTCATCAGCTAGAAAAGACAATATTTGAACTGATCGCATATAATACGACGTCGCTCGTGACTGTGTTCAAAAATATTCGTTCATCGTACATTATCCTGCCTTTGTGAACAATACACATCATTTCCGGGTGCCACTATTTCATCTTTCCTCTCGATGTATAATCCTTCATGTACTCATTCGAGGTCTCGGATTGGATCGCGGATGACGGGTGTTCATATTCGACTGAAAATTCTCGGGTTGATGTTTGTGAGATGGGAGTCTTACCCTGTCTATTGCAAGAAAACACAGTTCACGGTCAGACGAACATGAAAACAATAAAGAAACGACGAAGGAATCACTTCGGTCTCTATCAACATCGATATAATTGCCAAGGCTCAATCCACCGGCGAATCCGGGAGCTTCTCAGCTTCACTCAGTTTTTCTCCCGAATTCGATCGAGTCTATGTCTATGGGATGAGTCCACGCGCTAAGCTCATGAATGAATCAAGTCGCGGAGACGAAAGGTGCATCCGTGCATCCTATCGGGAGGGAAGGGGGGGTGGGGCAAACCATCTGAGGACCTGAGAATTACAGATTTCAGCTGAATATATGGTCCGATGGGTACGATTTCAGTGAAGCTGGAAGCGGAGTCATCTCGAGGAAGTTCTCCCCGGCACGGAGAAGCGCAGTTTTCGAATCGGAGGCGCCGCTCAGTCGAATTTCATGACCTGCCGCCGTGTCAGTACAAAATCAGGGCCCATCCAGCGATCCAAATCGTTCAGATCGAGGGCCTAGGAAAGTTCGATCGTACAGATAAAGTCCCTGCTTTTTCCAGAATAAGAGCAAGCATCCTATGTGAATGTAGAACGACGATGTAAGCACTCCGGAGGAGGAGAGTTCATATCTCCGAGCTCTACTGCGTATCCTCGTTGCCTCCCTCGAGAACACTTACGCCGTTTAACTCTGCTCGGAAGAAGAGAGCCCGAGCTCCGGCTTACAGCGTGTTCGTGTGTAAGATCTCTTTCGCTCCCTTCGAGGGCTGCGTTGCTTTTCCTGACGCAAACAGCTGAAAGTCGTGATGTGAGCCTAGTTCTGTCCAAGCTGAAGGTGAGAACGAAGTGGTGCGACATCGTGAGGACGTTTAGAGTGTGGCCGTATCGTTCCGAAGCGGCACGTGATCAGGCGGGCGGGCTCGGACCCCGGCGCACTCTCTCCGATCCGCACATCACGTTAGCTCGGTAGCGTTCCGCGTTACTGGATGGACCCGCAAATCAATGATTCCATAATAATCTGCTCATTGTCGCTCAAAGTGATTTCCGAGCTTTTCAGTACGTTCGTCGATGCTGCTCTCAGATGCGAATTCTTCCCAGTCAGGTCACGATGGACAAATCCTCGATGCTCCGGGGTCCTGTTCTGCTCGTTTCGAGGAAGGTAGAAGCTTCATCGTCGCAAGCGACAGCCAAAGACGGAGCCTCCGCCTTCGTTGCTCCGAAAACGAGAGCACAATTAGGCGAGCAGGTCTGTTCCGAACGCTTTAAGGAGACTCGTCTCCTATTGCCTCGATCGTCACTACTCAGTCAGGCAGTGAGGTTCCCGACGTCGTCACGTGTTTCATGTTTTATTCTCAGGGACCGCAGATTCAATTGGTGGCTATCACGAACGCTAGCCCCGCAATCACTTTGGTACAAACAGCGCCAAGCAGGTCCAGCAAGACTTACAGCGAGTTCCCGGTCGACAGAAATCGAGCAGTTTTCCCGGGTCTGTTCTTGGGAGCCACCTTCTCCAGCTACAATGAGCTCACGGTAGGCTTCCGAGATTCCGTCTTGGCCGCGTTCGATCGCAATGAACCGTGTGGAAACCGTCCTGTTTCTTGCAGGATCTGATGCAAAGATTTCAAAGAGCCAAAGGGGTACACCTGTACATACGATCGTCGAGAAAACTCTACCCGGCTGTTAACAACATGGGTGGCACGGTGCGGGAATATAACCTCGATCTCATGTTCGCGGATATTTATTACTCGTGTACGAAAGGAGGTCGGCGTTTCTGTCGGTCGTCTTCCTGTTCGGCAACTTCGTCCACCAATGACGGGGTCCGGAACTGTCCTTTCAACATAAAACTCCGCCTAACCAGAGACGGCCAGAGACTGTACATCCGGGACATATACCCTGCCCACAATCACTACTTGGATCGCGTAAGTGAATTTCGATTTAATGCTCCCGTTCCGGAACCCTGACCGCAGCCCTGGAGCTGCTCTGATTCGGTAGCCTCAAGTCGCTCATGGAGCCGAAATCTCACCGTGGATCCCTTACGTCGGCACGCTTCGATCTAATAGTGAGGTTCCGACGCGATCATGCTGTCGATGTTCGTGCGCCGTACCTCTCACTGGCGGGATCGAGTTGTGGGGTCGGCACGGCGAGCTGGACATAAGCGGAGGTCGGGCGAAGACACGGACCGGGGAAGAAAAGCACTCTTGCAAGCCAGAACTCACGTATTTTCTTTTTTACAGAATAGCCAACCGCGTATACCGCACCCCTCCATAACGGAGAGTAAATTACGTCCGCTAGAGAAGCCTCGAGTCCTTCTTCCGGCGAAGGCTGGTGATATCAACGCTATTCTGAATCAAGATCTCTCCGATGACGTGAAACGGCTCGTTCTACTGACGAAGACGTCTCGGAGGATCCTACCGATTAGGCTCATCGCGGGGAAGCCCGAAGAGGATTCGGAGCGTCAGACGGGTGCAGCGAATAGAAGCTACCCTGATGTGACAGTCAAGCGAGAAATCGAAGATTCAGATATGCTAGCGGAATCATCGATTCGACCTGCTGGCGGACAGGACGACCACGAGACAGGCATTGGGCTCGAACCCGAATGTATTCTGGGCACCGAGGAGAAGATCGTTCCTGATGTCGATGACGACGTCGTAGACGGGGAAGCTTCTTTTGCCTCTACGGCGTCGCAGTATGCAACAGACACGGAGCCTCGCATCAAGGAGGAAATCCTCGACGAATTTCCGATGGAGATGGAAGGCGACGGTGGTTCATCTCACGTTGATATCGACTTTCCTTGTGATGACTCGGCATTCCTCGTCAGTCGACAACAGATCCTAGAAATGGTGAAATTCTGTAGTCGGTGCGGGAGTCGGGTTGCCAATCGGTATTACTCGTACCGCATCGATTCGCTCGGGGTAGCTCTGATCTGCAGCGCAGGACATACGGTAGAAGTTTCGTTAGGACGGAACTCGTCTTCGAGATCTCCCCACAATGTCATTGTGGGCTCATGAGTTCAAGCCGGTACTGTGGGACTTCAATGAGCATCCTCGAAACTCTGCGAGAATCACTCTGTTCTTCCAAGTAATGAGAGTGAAGTATGTTGGAGTTATAAATTTTATCCGTTTTCTCTCCATCACCGGTTGCGGTGGGTGGAGCGAATTTAGTGCGCTTCTCTGTAAAACACGCGTCAGTGTCCTGCAACGTCTCCTCCCTGATTCCAGCAGCTCTAATTCAATAGTTTCTCATCCAGCCTGGAGTTCACGATGCTGAATAAAGCAAGGAATTTTCTGAATCGGCGGCTTTTCTTGAAATTTTCGATAATCCGTCCCGCATCGAAGGGAAATTCTCCATCGGGGACGCTGAATTCTCGACAGGCTCGAACGCGGAAGCAACAAGTATGTGTTCTCGAGGGAAGCGAACGAATCTTTTCAATTGCTTCGACGACTTGTTTACAAAGATGCTCCGTCGGAAATTTCTGTCGAAATCTCAAGCAACGATTTTACCGAACACCATCCGACGGATCCAAATGAGATTATTATCTTGTCCGTCTCGGGGTCGGCCGCAGGAGGAAATCGCTTCCTTCCCAGTAGCCCGCGGAGGAACATCAAGAGCAATAATTCAGCCTATTCGCTGATTTTTAAACGGAAATTCTTCCAAGATATGACTCTGGAGAGGGTAAGGTCTTCCCATGGAGAACGACAAGGCTCACGGAACTCCCGAACCTTCGGAATCTCGAGTCGGACGCATGTTATGCAATGGATTCAAAGTCAACTATTATCAGAGGTAAGCAGTTTATTCTCTTAAGCCTTGGTTATCGGCGTACCCTCTGGATTGTTCGGAAAAAACTAAGTTTTGCGCTTGTTAAGGTAAACATAGTCGCGGGATTTCGTAGAAATGAAGACAGTGAGCCATGGGCATTAGTTAGTAACGGGCGTCCGGGATCGCATCGATCATCATCCTGATGTAGCGATGATGATGACGACGAGAACGATGTCCAGGTGAATCAAGAGAAATCCTCCGTCAGAAACAAACAACGCATCTTCGACGAGGCACACCGGTAGCGATTCTTCGACGGGACAGGACCAGTTTCGCTCCAGAGCTGCGCTAACCGAATACCAAGCGCACAGACTTAGGTTTTGATTGGTGATTTAATGCTGCTGACAGTCCTTTCTTGCTCAAAAACAGCGATTCTGATCAGAGGGAACGTCAGAAGCAGCTGTGACAAACAAAATTTGCACAACCACTGGTTCGGGTGTTGGGCTCCTTGGCTACAATAAAGTGGTTTTGTTGAGGTTTGAGTTTTTCGACATCGTAAGAATAATTGAAGTTGAGAAAATAAAGTTTCCGGTTGTTTAAGTTATTCCTCTTTTTTCTCCTTGTCTTCGCTCTGCTTCTCGTCGATCTGCGCGTCGGCGACGTACAGGCTCGGATCGATGCTCTTCGGAATCGGGAGGATCTGGGTGTTGAGTTCACGTTCGACGACGGCCATGTTGTGTCGGTCGTCTTCAGTGATGAGATTGATGGCGAGACCTCGGTGTCCGTAGCGGCCGGAACGGCCAATCCTGTGCAAGTAGGACTCGGAACGGCTGGGGAAGTCGAAGTTTATGACAACGTTGACTCCCTGGACATCGATCCCTCTGGTGACAAGGTCCGTGCCGACGAGATTTCGGCAATTCCCTTGACGGAAATCATGGAACACTCGGTTGCGGTGTTGCTGTTGCATTTTCGAGTGGATGTAGTAGCACGAGTAGCCGAGATCGGTGATCTTCTTGGCCAGGAGCTCGACTCGTTGAGTGGAGTTGCAGAA